CCAATGGTATCAATGTGGACTTCACAAGCTTCAAAATCTCCCCTCCCCGACCGCATCCCAAAACCAGCCCAGCTCATCCCCGCCTCCCTAACCTGTCCTTCCTCCCACCTATCCCCTCCTTCCACCTGAAGCCCCACCCCTATCTCCTACCTACTAACCTCATCCCGCCCCCTTGACCTGTCCGTCCTCCCTGGACTGAACTATCTCCTCCCTACCTCCCCACCTACACTCACCTTTACTGGCTCCATCCCCACTTCTTTGACCTTTCTGTCTCCTCTCCACCTATCTTCTCCTCTATTCATCTTCTATCCGCCTCCCCCTCTCTCCCTATTTATTTCAGAACCCCCTTCCCCTCCCCCATTTCTGAAGAAGGGTCTAGGCCCGAAACGTCAGCCTTCCTGCTCCTCTGATGCTGCTTGGCCTGCTTCATCCAGCTCTACACCTTGTTATCTCAGATTCTCCAGCATCTGCAGTTCCTACTATCTCAGGGTAATGAAGACCTTTTTTTAAAAACACAGTGAGCAGTTAAGGTTCAGACTGAATGGCCCCCTTCTACACTGTATTAATGCTGTGACATTTGTAGTCTCAGAAGAACACAATGTGTGTGCTTTGAGTTGGAAAGTCATGTTGTGGTTGTACAGGACACTGCTGAGGCCTCTTCTGGAATACCGTGTCCAGTTCTGGTCGCCCAGATAAAGGAAGGATATTATCAAGCTGGAGAGGGTTCAGAAGAAATTTACCAGGTAATGCCAAGTATGGAAGGTTTGAGTCATAAAGAAAGACTGGATAGGCTTGGACTTCTTTCACTGGAGCGTAGGAGGTTGAGAGGCAGCCTGATAGAAGTTTATAAAATAGTGAGATGTATAGATGGAGTTAATAGTAGTTGTTTTATTTTCCTTAGAATGGGGGATTTCAAGACTAGCGGCACATTTTTAAGGTGAGAGGAGAGAGATTTAAAAAAGACATGAGAGGCAAATTTTTTACACAGAGGGTGGTTCGCCTGTGAAATGAACTTCCTGAGGAAGTGGTGGAGGTGGGTACAAATTACAACATTTAAAAGACATTTGGAGAGATACGTGAATAGGAAAGGTTTGGAGGGTTATGGGCCAGGTGCAGGGAGGTGGAACTAGTTTAGTTTGGGATTATGTTCGGTATGGATTGGTTGTACCAAAGGGTCTGTTTCTGTGCTGTATGACTCTATGGCAATTTAAGTTATACGTCAACCATGAAGAAAATTACCAAAACAGATGTGGAACATGATCCCTAAAGAAAGAAATTCTGAAAGGAAGCTTTAATATACTTCAATTTACTTTAATATAATTCAATATAGTTTAAAACACTAGATTAAAAAATCTGTGCTAATGGCATTGCTTTGGATGAGAATTCTCTCTGCAGCACAGACAAATACTAATGCCTTTAATGCACTTTGATACTATTTCATAAATCCTTTATACAGAGCAAGAAAAAAAAAGTTTTTTTCTGCTGTCTCCTTTCCTGAAAACAGGCATGTACATTTGGCATTCCACAAACACAGTTGACAGTATTTCCTTCTAATGTTTTTTTACAAAATCATGGTTCGTATCTCATGGTTAGCTTCTCTTCAACATTTTTTTAGCATTCTGTGCTGACATTTTTAACATTGCCATTCCATTAGTTTATTTTATTAATCCGGTTTTTACATATCTCTATATTTTGCATTCCAGTAATATAACTATGAGAAATATTTTTCAATTAGGTTAATTGCAGTGTGTTCAAGATTAGATTCATGTGTATAAGATAACCACAAAGCATTAAAATGTTTCACTTTGAAAACCATTCATTATACCTGCCGAAGTGAAAACAACTTGAGCAAGCCCACAGTTGTGCTGTTGACATCTCCAGGCATAGAATATCGCAGGGATCCAGTTTCCCAGCGCATAGACAGGAATTGGTACGAAGTGAAGTCGAGACAGGAAATCTTTAAATCTACTGATGTTTTTCAACCTGTAAGAAACATTAATTTAGTATAACAATATTAATATTAAGCATCGATATCTCAATTTTTTTTATTTCAGGGCCAACATTTTAAGTGTCAATAAGACCAAATTTCTATTAGGGTAATGTTGTGGCATATTTCCTTAGCAATGTGCAAACCACAATGTATGCAATTCCATAGTGTTAATGCTGACAAGCTAGTTCTGGAATTGGGACAAATTGCCAAAAAGGGATCAAGAAAAAAACAGAGATAACACAGTGTGGAGCTGGAGGAACACAGCAGGCCTGGCAGCATCAGAGGAGCACGAAAGTTAATGTTTCGGGTTGGGACCCTTCTTCAGAAATGGGGGAGGGGGAAGGGAGGTCTGAAATAAAGAGAGAGAGGAGGGGTGGAACTGGGGAAGGTAGGTGGGATGGTGATAGTTGAGTGCAGGTAGGCAGTGGTGGGGATTGGTCAGTGAGGTGGGAGGAGTGGATAGTCGGAGAGAAGACGGACAGGTCAAAAAGGCAACAATGAAAGGGAGATAAGTAGGAGAGAAGACGGATAGATCAAGGATGCGCAGTTCTTACTATCTCTCAAGAAAAAAACCAAGCACTTTGAGTTGTGAATAGGGAAGTGAGTGAAGTGCAAAGGTTGCACTTACACAGCAATGGCACATAGATGGCACAGTAATGAATTTAGGGGTAGATGCAAATGTTACCTAAGTATCATCTTGGCCAAGAAACATTTATGAACTGGAGACTTTATGAGGGGAGAAATATAAAATAAGCAAAAATGTTGTGAAATCTCATTTTATGATTTTGCTGGAATTTTATCTTCTAAACATTTCATTTTTATTGTACAGCCACAAAATATTAAATGGCAGTTACATTCATCAAGCAGCATAATCATACCGCAGGCAGTTATGGTCCTTTAAGATTTTAAAATTCAACATTTGTTACACAGTCACAACAGACAGAATTTTTTATAATATATTTATGGTCAGAGCCTATCAATCCATTAGTTTGAGGCAGTAACATATTTCTCAATTTTCATCAGTTATGAATACATGCAACATAATATTCCAACTTGCAAAACATTTGAATTCCCCATATTTCAAAAGTAATGACTATTACAGCGGTGGTGTTAGCTGAATACATATAGAAATATTTAGCATTTAAAAGATCGATATCTTTACGATAACGCCTACTGTGTAAAATATCAAGTTAATAAATATTTCACAATATATTCTTTAATTCCTGTTACCTATTAGTTGGAAATATTTCAAACTCAAATAGCCTCCTATTCTGTTAAATTCATGCTACTTAATTAAATAGGAACATAAGAGCAAGAGTAGGCCATTTAGCCCCTTGAATATATTCTGTCATTCAATTAGTTCAAGGCTGATCTATGATTTAAGTGTGCATTTACATTTGCCCCGTATCCCTTAATACACTTGGCTAGCAAAATAATGCTCAAAAATCAACTTTAAACATTCCCAGAGTAGGCTATGTACCTTACAGAATGTTTTGCCATTCTATTCAAATCCTCCAGATTTCCCTCTCACTTCTTTGCATATCTAATTCCAGATGTGGCAATTACAATCTATCACCCTGACCTCTTCCCCTGCCCAAATGTGCTTCTTTGCTCTGCCAAATACCAATCAATCATAGAAGGTGGGCCAGCAGGTTTATAAAAGTGGGTGTTATGCAAAGTAATGTTATCAGGGATAAAAAGCTGTCAGCAGTGCAAAATGAACCTGACGGCACTGAGAATGCAGGTGAGGAGTTCCAACACTAGTAGAAAGGAAGTTTCTGAAAACTCTGGAACAGTTTCTGGAATCTGGGACCATTTGGATGTTGTCCTTTTTTTTCTGAACATCAACAAAAGATTCCAGGATCTTGGAATAGGAGTAGGGCAAACCTGGACTCCATCAGGATCAGGAAGCATTTCAGGACAGAATTCAAAATAATTGGAAGAAAGTTTCTGGAATTAGATATTATTGGGGGGTGGTGGTGCATTGGAAATCAGTTCCCAGCAACTTGAGGCAAATGAAAATCCAGACAAAGGCGGTTTAATGATTCCCCTTGCTCCTTAAAGACAGACAGGCTGAATTTCACCAAATATCAGCCAAGTAAATTCCACTGACTTCTATGGATGGTGTAATGATGACAGGTCAGAACATTGTAATACGATGGACATTTTCAGCCCTTAATTCCACACGTGTTTTTAAAAAAGAGGACTGCTACAGAGACACAATATCTGCAGATATAAAATAGCAGATGTTCACCTGCACATCTGCCAATGTGGTATACTGCATCCGCTGTACCCGGTGTGGCTTCCTCTACATCGGGGAAACCAAGCGGAGACTCGGGGACCGCTTTGCAGAACACCTACGCTCGGTTCGCAATAAACAACTGCACCTCCCAGTCGCGAACCATTTCAACTCCCCCTCCCATTCCTCAGACGACATGTCCATCCTGGGCCTCCTGCAGTGCCACAACGATGCCTCCCTAACCTGTTCTTCCTCCCACCTATCCCCTCCTCCCACCTCAAGCCGCACCTCCATCTCCTACCGACCAACCTCATCCCGCCCCCTTGACCTGTCCGTCCTCCCTGGACTGACCTATCCCCTTCCTAACTCCCTACCTACACTCACCTTTACTGGCTCCATCCCCGCCTCTTTGACCTGTTTGTTTCCTCTCCACCTATCCTCTCCTCTATCCCTCTTCTATCCCCCTCCCACTCTCTCCCTATTTATTTCAAAACCCCCTTCCCCTCCCCCTTTTCTGATGAAGGGTCTAGGCCCGAAACGTCAGCCTCTCTGCTCCTATGATGCTGCTTGGCCTGCTGTGTTCATCCAGCCCTGCACCTTGTTGTCTCGGATTCTCCAGCATCTGCAGTTCCTACTATCTCTGGAATGTATTTCTTACGACTACAAACGTAACAAGGGGCTGATGACATAGAAACATAGAAGATAGGAGCAAGAGGAGGCCATTCAGTCCTTCGAGCTTCTCCGCCATCCTCCATGATCATGGTTGATCGTCCAACTTAATAGCCTCATCCTACATTCTCCCCATAACCTTTGATCCCATTCGCCCCAAGTGCTATATCTAGTCACCTCTTGAATACATTCAATGTTTTGGCATCAACTATTTCCTGTGGTAATGAATGCCACAGGCTCACCACTCTTTAGGTGAAGAAATGCCTCCTCATCTCCGTCCTAAATCATCTACCCCGAATCCTCATACTGTGACCCCTGGTCTGGACACACACACCATCGGGAACATCCTCCCTACATCTACCCTGTCCAGACCTGTTAGAATTGTATACCCTCTGTTCAACAGCAAGCTACCTCCTGCAGATTTTGTCCCAAAGAGCAAACACAGTTTGTGTTTTACCCTTTGAAGAATATAGAAGAACAGGGGTTAAAAAGCCAATTTCAACTCTAATGGAGTGCAGAAATGGGACTGAATGCTCTGGTGTGCACCAGCATGGATTCAATTGTTAGTCAAAGAACTATTTCCTAGTTACTCCTGTGTTGCATGTAAAGGTACTCTCTGACTCCAAGTGCTATAAAACCAGACAAAAGGAACAAAAGGAAGTTCCCTCCACCTAAATGCTGGCATCAATTATGGTTAAAAGGAATCAGAACTACGGAATCTCAACCAATCTGCAAAACCAAGGATCGTGAAGCTGACAGTTAAACTAAACTATCACCAACACCTGTAACTTTTACTGCAACACCCGCAGCCTGTAATATTTCTGCTCTTCACAAACAAAATCAGAAACTTTTTAAGCTTTTATATTTTTGGACTTGACTTTATTTATGATCTGTGCATATATGTGTTGCATTACTTTTTATTCTCACATTTTGTACTTAATAAACTCACTCTTTAGGATAATTTAAGAAAGCCTGGTTAAATTGAGATTTTTCAAACCATTAAGTTCATTGAGTCAGAGAAAAAGGAATCCACAAGGAAAGGGGTCCTTTCTAAATTAACCTTGTTTTAACTAATTATGAACATGGACGGATAAAGAAGGGGAGCCAGTTCATCCCTTCTTACCTAAGAGCTTAACAGGTTGGGGTAACCCATCTGAAATTGTTAAGAACTGGAATTGTGGAAGTGGTGGCACAGTGACAGCTCACACAAGAACAGAGCTTGGCACTAAGAATGATAGCTGCCTGCGACAAAGGTGGAGCTGCCAATGAAATCACAGTGCAGGGTGAAGGCAAACTTCTATGCATCAGCTCACAGAAATCAACGGACATTTCACCTCCTGCTGTGATGATCGTTAAAACATTGCAGTACAAAATTTAGAACTTTGAAATAAGTTCAGTGTCCTCATATTCTTCCTAGGGAGACTGCTGCCATTCCACTCTTCAGTGTCTGTCACATCCCCTCTTTGCCTGCTCCAGGTGCATAGAGCACAACACACTAGAATTATGCAGTGCTCTCTATCTGGAGCGTACTGCAAAGGCCCAGCAGACCAATGCAAGCCCTGGAACCTGATCATTAGGAAGACTATTGTCTACTCCACTATGGTGGGAAAATGGGCTGCATTGTACCTATTCTCGACTTCAGTCAAGGAGTTACATAATAGAGTCATCAGCCATGATTGCAGAGGTCGCTCTCACCTTCTAGCCGCCATCCTTGTAAGGCATCCAGCCCTGTAAGTTAAGTAGAAACTTGAGAGCTTTCAAGGCTATAGGCACCAGGGTCAGCTTCCAAGGTACTTTAAGATGTGGTACCAATGATCACAAGTGACTTGTATATTGATCAACTTAAATCTTTATCTATTGATGAAGTCAGTTGCATTATGCTATGGCGTTTTCAATGTGACATGTATAATCTATAGCACTCTTCACTCAGGGAAAAACAGCGATGTTGGCAGAGTCTGCTCAAGCTGCAGTACCGACCTTACCCTCATGGGGAAACAAGGTGAGGCAGTGTGATCTAGCACAAATTGCATCACAGTCACAGCCTTGATGCATTTTGTATGCTGAGGGTCAAGAGATCCATACAGA